ATTTTGGAAATCCGTATCACAAAATTGCCCACAGATTCCTTTTTTTTTGCCGTTCGACGACGACGGGTGTGCTTTCGCGAGAGTGACGTTTATTTGATCCGTTTCTTTGCACGGGTGTGTTTTTTTTTTTGTAACTAGGGTAAGTGTGCCTGCGATTTGCATTGGGGGCTGTTCATAAACTACGTAGACAGTTTTTTTTGGATTCTTGACCCCCCTCCCCCTGCGTAGACAATTGTCCATACAAAAAATTTCAAATTTGTATGGGCCGTAGATAATTGTCAACCCCCCCCCCCCCCTAAACTGTCTACGTAGTTTATGGACAGCCCCTTGAGTGTCGGAGATTGTAAGTAATCTGAAGGATGCCTCGCTGGATACGCCCAAGACTGGACGGGCAGTAGCTGGTGGCCGTGAACGGTTCCTGGGGAAAGCACTAGATGCGACCCTTCTCCCAGATGACCATGGCAATACAGGAAGTATTGGTATTGGAAGGTAATTGCTATTAGATATTTTGCAAACAGTGACAGATAGCGGACATGAAGAACCAGTGGAGGTGCCGGGCAAAGGTGTTTATCCTAGACAAATGGTAAGTTACAAATTCGCTGTTGTCGTTGTCGTAGGCGCCGTCGTAGTCGCTGTCGTAGTCGCCGTCGTAGTCGTAGGCAGTACCGTTAGTATATTTAAAATTAACCACCAACCGCTGAAAATATGAATTATCGCGTATTTCTGTTGTTCATTACATGCCAAGTAAAATTCGAGAACGTAATTTCATTTGAATAGCTTGTTCAACCAGGTCTTAAACAATCGTCACGTCGGTCATAGCTTGTTATGATTACCTGAACCATGCGTAAAGAGAAAATCGAAACATTTAACGTCTCGTGAAAATGGATCTTAATGAAGGCCTCTTTCATAGCTTTTAGTTTAAGGATTTCAAAGATCGTCGGTTGCAATGGCTTGCTTACTGAGCAGGAAAACACGGTCCCAGATCCTTTCATATTTAAAATGTATGGGTAGATCGCTTGTTAATCGTGTATTTCGTAAAACTTTTCGTTGTCGTCGGTGCCGAGTCTGAATAGTCATAAAAAACTTGAGTAACGCTATAATGTGATATGAGGGGCTCGGTGGCCTTAGAGCAACCGGTTTTGCTTACTGAGCAGAACATCATGAGTCTAATGTCAAGCCCATCAACATTCAAGATTCGTCAATCGTTTTATTTGTTAACATGACTACATGGTAATAACAGCAACTCGATGATTAAAAAAGAGCTCGTCTGCCTAGTGGCAAACGTTTTTGCTTACTGAGCAGAAGACCGTGGGTTCAATCCCAAGCTCCTTCGCGTTATATGATTGTTAGCACATCAATTCAGCTTATCGTTTACCAAAACGAACCCTGCTGCAAACCCAACCCTATTACCCAATATCCCAGTAATTCCTCGTGGAAGTGCAGAGGTGTTCTCGGCTTCCATCAAAGCGAGTGTCACGTCAACACATTCCTACCCCTTCCTTTCTTGACCTGTGTTCGGGCGCGGCCGGCGCTGGTATTGCCTAGTTTGAGATCACCAGTTTTTACACATTGAGGATAATTTCTAGTCCCAAGCATCGTCTATTGGTTCTCTGTGTAATTACAGCTGGTCTGGCAATAACAGAGTAGCAACCGTGGGCGGTCAATCATGCTCATGCCAATAAGTTTGCTTTCTTCAATAAGTAAACTTTTTGAAAAGATAATTTTAAATAGAATGATGCTTCACATCAATACGAACTCAATTTTTGCAATATGTGTTTTTCCTTTGGTTTGTTTTTCTTCGATCTTGTTTTCCGTGCTGAGCACCAATGCTACCGACGCCAGGGAGGCAGCTCCCACACCTGGACCCTACCACCTATCGATCCATCAACTCATGACCCGGAGACCAACGGCTTTACTTCCCTTCCGAAGGAAGGCGTGATCAGAGATGTTATGCCTCAGAACATCCCGGTGGCGCCGACTGGAATTGAACCCAGGCCTGCTGAGGTGAGAGGTAATCACTGCTTACCACTACACCACCGGCGCCGCTTTTGCAATATGTTAGATATAATGAAAAACGTTCAGTATGAAAACGAATGGAATATCATTTGAGATAGTCCCATTACTTAAATCACCTGATTTCAACTATAAAATCTATTATAGCCGAAAAAATGGCAATACACGTTATGTGAAAACTTGAGTGTAAAGTTGTTATATATTCTCAAAGGTCTTAAGAGAATTGAAACAGCAATCAATTCGAAACTAACGATTTTAAATTGGCTCACTACTTGACTAGCCTATTGGTCCCAAGCAAATCGATTAACGTATCCCATTCTAGTATAAATTCCAGTACTACACTACACGGGAAGAAATCCGATTTAATTTTCATGAATAAAAAAACATGAAATGAAAAAACGTTCCATGCCATGAAATCATAACAATGATCTACAATTTTATGATGGAAATTCATGATTTCATAATGTAGCGGAATCATGCCGCTACAAGCGTTACACGTACCTGACAAAATTTAACTTTTTGTCTGTCAGAAGTAACCACGCTCGGATAGCAGGGTTAATCGATAACTTCCCATCTGTCAACTTTTAACCAAAAGTTAAAAACTCCACCAAATGGTTCAGAGCCTTAGTCTGAACTACATATTCAGAGTCTTAGTTAGAACTACATATTTCAATGTCGTTCGTACCAGTGAGCAATATAATGATTTAAGGCAATATACATCTCTCTTGCTACCCGAAAAATGAAGCCAAGGTTTCGTGAGGCTTTTGTGACTACGTACGACAAATGCGGCTTGAACGTGAGTTTTTCGTCAAGAATCACTCCTAACTCTTTACCCTGGTTTTCCCTCTGCTATTGAATGCCCATCAAGGAATATTTAAGATACATATTAAATAAGTATGAATAAAAAGTGTTTCCTTCCCTTTACCGTGCTTTTCTTACGGATCGAGTAAAGTTTACTCTTTTATTAATATGACTCAATATGTACATTAAACTCTGCTGCTGCATTAAATTTTGTTTTCTCCGCCCATCTCTGACTCTTGAGTATTAAATAAAAAAGAAATTTTCTCCTAAATAATTACGAAGTCATCAAGAGTGCCGAGTACCTGGAAAAAACTGTAGATGAACCCTGATACAGGTTCAGTAACATTTACACTTTCCAATTGCACACACGATTCCAATAATATTTGTTTAGATTAATCTAATTCGAAAACGGCTACATCGCTCGCTATTAGGTTCTGCAGCGTGACGTCACAAATGAACTCAGTGTTAAACGGCTGAACCTTTTTGACAGTTCAGTGGTACTGTTTACAAGCACTTAGTCGTTTTTTCGAAAAAAATTTTCTAAGGTTTCTGAATTTTAACTTGAAAATTGTCGAGGAACAGCGCGTTGCAAGGATGTTGCTCGTGAACATTGCAGAAATGCTGTGTACATCTCACTGCAGTCTGAAAAATTATCGAGAAAATCCACCCAAGAAAAAATCGACTAAGTCCACGTAAACAGTACCACTGAACTGTCATCAGATTGAGGTTAACCCCGACGGTGCAAAACCTAATTAGGTTCTGCAGCGTGACGTCACGAATGAACTCAGTGTTAATCGGCTGAACCTTTTTGACAGTTCAGTGGTACTGTTTACAAGCACTTAGTCGTTTTTTCGAAAAAAAAATTCTAAAATTTCCGAATTTTAACTTGAAAATTGTCGAGGAACAGCGCATTGCAAGGATGTTGCTCGTGAACATTGCAGAAATGTGGTTTACATCTCACTGCAGTCTGAAAAATTATCGAGAAAATCCACCCAAGAAAAAATCGGCTAAGTCCACGTAAACAGTACCACTAAACTGTCATCAGATTGAGGTTAACCCCGACGGTGCAAAACCTAATACATCGTCTGTCACGCATTACTATCGTAGACTTTCAGAAAAGTATTATGCACATCTGATGTTCTCGTGAAATGTTACATCTGGGCGTAGCACCTTTTACACCAACATTATACAGGTAGTAATCATCAGGTGCATATTTGTATAGCATTTGCATTGACTGGTAAACTAACCGAACTGCCTTTCGACGTAAGCGGCCAAATAAAAATTATTCAGTAGCTTTTTTCTGGTCAGGTACCTTTCACCGCAGTATGATTTCAATCGATAATATAAACTGTTTGATATACTCATGTAAGAAGATGTCAGGAAAAATCGTATATTTTTAAAATGTTGGTCTACGAACGTCACTTTGCTACAAAATAGATATTTTAAAAAGACACAAAGTGATGTTCGTAGCACAAACTTCCCTGAATAATGGTCCAAAATTAAGATTTTTGGCGTCAATAGGTGCTGTTTTATGCACTGAATGTGAGAATACGAAAATTGAAAATTGGCCATAGTGGCGTATACGTCATTTTGTTGACACACGGCAGCGACATCAACTATCGCCACATATTACGAAGAACTATTCTATAAGTTTTGTTTTCTATGGGTATAGTAAATGTTGGAGCTTTTGATGAATTTCCTAAGCATAATAATTTTAAATAAGACTTAATATGACTACAAATGTATCCTTAATTTCACAAGGTTTCAAAATAACGAATTAAAAATGGGTACCTATGCCAATTATTTGCACACCCATTTTAAATTCGTTAGTTTGAAACCATTTTATTATTAATGTTTTATTTCACAGCTTTTACAATAAATGTTCGATTCCAACCTCAATTGCATTGTTAGGCGAATTATTCACTGATTCACCATCGTTCAAGTTCTGTCCGCATGTCTTTACTGACATTTGTCACACATACTGTTTAAGCTAGCACGCCATTCGTTTCTTTTTGAAAACAAAGCACCAATACCGTCTAATGTTACAGTGAGTTTTGAAGAATACCAACAACATAGAATGCTATCAAAAGTCGCATCTTTTATTGAACATACATATAGTGATGTGTATACCTATGTTGCGAGCCATGCGACGCATCGTATCGATCGCTCAATAGTCGGTGTGTTTTTTTTTCGTCAAACCACTATCGATAACTATTTATGTAAGTTGGAGAAGGTCGTCTCTTGCTTTCGGCAACGTGAGTTCTCGGGTTTTATCCCGGTTGTGTGACTGCGTAGTACCTACATATTCCGTAGTGGATTGTGTGGAAACGGTAAGCCTATTGAAACCAAAAGTGTAGAGATAATGAAACCGGAAATTACACGTTTAACACTGATTGTATTCTGTTTACTTCCGCAGAGCCGCAGTAGCCAAATTCTTAAAGTAACCGACAGTCAAAATGTCGCTCACCAGCTTGTATAAACGTGCCCTAGTCAAGTATCCCGTGTTGGTGCAATCGGTGCAATCCGGCATTCTGATGGGAACAGGCGATATTATCGCGCAAACTATGGTAGAGAAACGAACCATTGGAACTATCGACGGGATGCGAGTGTTCAGATTCTTTGGGATTGGATTTTGCATCGGCGTGAGTCCTAGGTAACACATCTCGACTCTTTCTCCAAATTACCCTTTGATCTCGCATTTTAGGGCCCTGGTCTGCGTAAATGGTATGGTGTATTGGATAAGCACGTCACCGGCAAAACGAAGGCGGCTGCTACCTTCAAAAAGGTAGCACTCGATCAGTTGATCTTTGCTCCGATCTTCCTGGGCACACTTATCGGTACGATTGGCGTTCTTCAAGGCAACAATAGGGAACAAATCGAACGTAAACTCAAAAACGAGTATCCTGACATTCTATTGACAAACTACTACATCTGGCCCTGGATCCAGCTGACCAATTTCTATCTTGTGCCATTGAACTACCAAGTGCTACTGGTACAGGCTGTTGCCGTATTTTGGAACACGTATCTCTCGTGGAAGACAAATTGCAACGATACGACCAAAGTGTTGGCCATTAAGTCGGAAGCCGTCGTAGCGGAAGAATCGAAGGAGAATGCCTTCTAAAAAAGGAACCTGTGTTTGGTGACCGCGCGATTGGTGCCAACTGACGGAACTGGAACATTCGGATGTGATATTTAAGTTCGGTTGTAGATGTAAAATTACTAGCTTGACAAATGAAGGTCGATTTTAAATCTACTTGTTACGATAGTGAACGGCGTAATATTTGAAATTTTCGAATTAAATGAACGGGCACTAAATAATTGTTTGGTTCCTGTAGAAACGAAATCCTGAAAATGCTTGTTGTGAGACAACTTCTTTTATGGGACCTAATCTCAGCCTATGCCCCTATCTTGGGCCTATCGCTTAAATTCAGGTTTATATTATCTGTTGCTTTGGAAAGAAAATGCGCCGAAATCGTCGCAGAACTCGTCGCCATAACGCGATTTCTTCACGTTTTCTGCATGTTGCTTTTGAAATTATCTGACGTAGGTACGTCTCACCACTCTATCACTTGGTGAGTGTGTTCGTTTTTGTGCTCAAATGTACTTGTATGACACATTTTACCAGGATGTATTCACGTTGTTACCTGATTTTTAACAGTATGTGTACTGTTAGGTACTTTACAAAAATTTAATGTAATTGAATTTGGAAATTGAAATAATTGAAAATAGGATAGAGCGCTACTTCGTCGTAATCGCAGAACGAATTCGCTTTTTCTACACACTTAGTTTTTTCTACCGAGCTCGGCTGTGCAAATCTCGGCAAAAAAAGTTCTAGTGAGATCTCAGCAAACAAATGAAATGTTTGCTGAGATTCAGCTAAGCATTATCCGAGATTCAGCAATCAAATGTCACTTTTGCTGAGATCTTAGTGAAACTTTTTTTGCCGAGCTTTGCACAGCCGAGCTCGGTAGAAAAAAACTAAGTGTGTCCGTTTATCCGTAGGACGAAGAAAATCTAATGGCGTTTCAATGCGTTAGGACGGAATTGATACTCGTAGAACGAATTTAGAATCAAGAAGCTGTATTAGATTTTAAACAATATCTCAACAATTTGTGACTTTTTATCAAATCCTACGGTACGTATGGAAAGGTGAATACATTTAGAATGACTTCTTTCACAGAAATTTTCCTTTTTGTGTTTAAACTCGTTCAGAAAAGAGAGGTAAAGCACGGGTTGTGCTTAGTAGGACGGACTATGTGTTACTTTCAGTGTTATGTGCTCAAATAAAAAGCTCTTGAAAAATTCATATAGGAAACTTAAAGCCCTTTCTAAAACTGCAATAATATTTAGGAGTTACTTTGCATTTTTCAGTTAAAGTACAAAAACTGGTAAAAGCTATTGTAGAGTCACGTAGAATGTGTCAGTATCAGTTTGTTCACGTGACTCAATGTGAGAACAGCAGAGCAGAGTGACCAGCAAACCTAAAAAACCGGGAATTTGTAAAGACACCGGAAAAAATAAGAGAACCGGCAAAAATCAATATGCCTAAATACTTGGGCCTATTCTGCGCGGCGTGTGAGGTGAGGTGACAGTGAAGTGATGGTGAAGTGACAATTCAGTGCCAACATTTCAAAGCGGCGTAATTGCTTTTGTAAACAATGACTTTAGCCGTCAATTTCTCGCGAATGAAATCTTACCTCTCCAAAATAACAATGCTAGCTGGTAGAGGAAACATTCCTCTACCTGCTGGTGTCATTATTTTTCATGAGTGATATTTCATTCGCGAAAAATCGACGGCTAAAGCCATTGTTTACAAATGCAATTACGCCCCTTTGAAATGTTGGCACTGAATTCTCACTTCGTGTGAGGTGACTCTCCATTTGATTTGCATGGAGAGTCACATCATCCGAGGTGACAATTCAGTGTCAACATTTCAAAGAGGCGTAATTACTTTTGTAAACAATGGCTTAGCCGTCGATTTCTCGCAAATTAAAGCTCACCCCTCCAAATTAACAATTCCAGCTGGTAGAGGATACATTCCTCTACCTGTTGAAGTCATTGATTTTCATGTGTGAGCTTTTATTCGCGAGAAATCGACGGTTAAAGCCATTGTTTACAATAGCAATTACGCCCCTTTGAAATGTTGACACTGAATTGTCACTTCACCATCATTTCACTGCCACTTCACCTCACACGCCACGCAGAATAGGCTTAACTGTCAGTTAAATTACTGGTTGTTTATTGTTATTGTTTTGTATGGATGGTATGGACAAAGAAGAATACTAAGATGAAACAGTCGGAAGAAAAACTTTCTATTTTAGTGTCTCTTTCACGGTCCCTTTCATCCAATGAAAACCCCCCGTATGCAAGGTAATTTTGTGGTTTAGCTGCCCCCTCGGTAGAGATAAAATTTTGCGCTCTGTTTTATCAAAACAATCACACCAAAATCAGAGAATTCCCATTTTTTAATTACTCGATTAACAACTAATCGATTATTTTTTGTTTGTTGTGCTGTCATTTTTCCACCTATGAGAGTGCAGCACATGTTTGAAACGATCGGTGATGGTCCTCTGGAGAAGTTAATGCTGATATCAGCATGATATAACCACAAACGAAGTGACAGACGACTAACTGGCGAAGAAATCCATTAAAATAATGTGGTTCACTGTAATAGAATTTTCTTGGAAGCTTGTGCCATCATCCACCAGATGGGTTAGTTTTTTTGTTTTGATTTGAACAAAGTTGATTTTGTGTGCAATGATTCTTTGACAGTGTGCAAAGAGTGTATCATTTTGTCATTTTTTTATGCATTTCAGTTTTGAGTAGAGTGAAAGAGATAGAACCAAAACATTCTAGTACATTTGGTGAAAATGCTAGTTCAATCTAGTAGTAGTGTTGCCATGTGGTACAATCATAGAGGTAACTCTAAGACCACTGGGTCCCGAAGAAAATCATTATTATTTTTGGCTCACTCAGTACCAGAACAACGGTCCCAAGCAGTCCCAAGCTATTTCACTCACCCCTGCATGTTCTGCATGAATCCACACACCCCTGATGTTATCTGTCAAACTTTCATAGCGAATCAAAACAAACATAGTGTAGTAATAGAATTTCAACTAGAATAGGGTACGTTAATCGTTTGCTTGGGACCAATAGGCTACTAAAGTGGTGAGCCAATTTAAAATCGTTAGTTTCGTATTGATTGTTGGTACAATTCAGTAGTAGTGGTGTTGTCATGTGGTACACTGAAAAATTGAAATAGCAGGTTAGTCACCAAAGTTTTCGAGCCGCTCCGTCTGTCACTTCGTTTGTGATATAACCGGTTACAAATATTTTACTTTTCGGTTCGTTAATCGACTGATTCGAATAATAATGAAAATCGGCCATAACTAGATGAATGTGAAACGTCATTTCAAATATATGGACCGTACATAAATAATGATACAATTTGAAAGGGACCGGGGCTAATCACAAATTACGTCACACGGTAACTGAAATAAACACGAGTGTTCACCGGTTGGTATGGATGCACTAGTTTACCATTATTAATAATGTTTATTTTTTCTACACAAACTTATAATAAAGTTTCTGAAACATATAGGGGAAATGTTGGCTTCGGCAATACCTTAACCTATTATCGTCAGGGGGTAAACAACGTCCTTGACAGCTCAATTTTGGCATGTGGATACATTGTGTTTCAGAGCATCTATTGGCCAAATTTGAGTGCTCTAGGACTTTGTTTACCCCCCTGACGATAATAGGTTAAGGTATTACCGAAGTCAACATTTCCCCTACTTAAGAATTCGTTATGATTTTTAACCATATTTCAAAATTATAAACTTATGTGGTACTTTTTCCAATTGGTTTGATATTAAGCAATCTCAAATCAAACAATTTAAATTGTTGGATCAATACTTAGATTAATTCCCGGTTAATGACATCCCTAATAAACAAATACCATAAACGAACGGTAACCCGGATGGTAGAAATACCCCACAAATAGTTTGAATGATACCCTGAACACGTCGTTAAGCTCGTTCTTATGGTTATTTTTTTTTATTAGGGATTTTTAAACTAGGATCTTGCAACGTATTATAAGTTGTTTACAAGATTTAAGACACTCTCGAGTCCCTTTGAATCTCGAAAAGGGTTGTGGCAAGGTGATGGACTTTCGTGTCTGCTATTTAACATTGCGTTGGAAGCAATCCTCTGTCAAGAAGGAGGGTTGCTGAAGCCACCACCATTGGTGGTGTCAGAACTGTAGCCTACAGTTTTTATGCTATGTTTATATCAAGAACAACATGTGAAAAGGGCATACAAGCTTTTTGTAAACAAACCTTCTTATGCCCTTTGCTCGCCACCTATACACGGTAATCGCAAAAAACTCGTTTATGACTATAAAGTACGCATTTTTGAAAGAAAACGGGAGTACCCATAAAATGACTAAAATTTTACGCATTTATGAGTAATTGATAGTACAAAATGATTAAAATTTATGCATTTATAAGTAACAGATACTCATACACGGACAGATAATTGTTTGCATTGAACCAAAAAAAAAAAACTTTAATTGTATTTAAACAAACAATTCCGGTTGAAATTATATTGCATTTTGTTGTTTCAATAATACTTGTTCATATAAATTCAAAATAGGATTCTTTTTGTTTTAATAAGCCACTTTTCAACTGCAACTATTATAAAAATAACAATATTCTATTATTAAGCCAACAACGAGGCCAACAATAGTTAATTTTAATTTAGCATTTATTTGCTGTGTCCATTCCCCGGGCCATGAATGCAAAAATAACTACCAACCATTCTCTCGTTTACACCCGGACAAAAATTTAAACAATAACAAAACTTCCGCGTTCCACGTAAGTATTGTTTTTAATTGTGAATTTCGGGAAATCAGTGCAAAATTTCCGAAAATCTTGAGACTTGAGGTAAGTAAGAATGCTGTAATTCGAGCTGCAGTTGATAATAATATAATCAATTTTTTTTCCTTGATTTTTTCCGTCGATCTAGTTTTCCGTACTGAGTACCAATGCTCCCGACACCAGGAAGGCAGCTCCCACACCTGGACCCTACATATCGACCCATCAACTCATGAACCGGGGGTTTTATTTTATGTCTCAGAAATTCAATTGCAATGCAAAACATA